AAAAATACAACAAGGCAGTGCGAAGATATGGCGATTCAAAGTTCTATTTTTACTGAAAAATCAGCCATTTTGTTACTAAAAATAGATTTTTTTTCGAACTTTGAATCGCCATATCTTCGCACTGCCTTGTTGTATTTTTAATGTTTTTACAATTTTGAGATCCTTATAGGACATGTACTTAGCTCGTGTTTATTTTTTTGGCGCCAAAGTTGGCATGTCATTTTCCCGCCAAAATGTAACAAAATGGAAAAACAAAAAACATACGATTTAGAGGAATGTTAAGTTCTATCCTGTGAGGGACTTTCGTGATATTCCAAACTAACGAGAGAAAGTTATATGTACTTGGCCAAATTCGCTGTCTTTTATGCCCACCGTGGCTAGTAGAGAAAAACAAAATGGCAGCCAAACTGAATTTACGATGTTTTGCAAACGAGAAAACGGCAAGTTGTCGCTTTTTATAGCCTTCACAGGATTAAAAACACAATGAAAAAGCTCCTATAAATTGTTTTCAGGTTAGCAAATAAGTTTTAATATTTAAAATGGTTAAAAATATATATTTTTGAAAAAATAATCGGCCGAAAGAGCGAAGATAAAAACATAAACAAAATAGAAATATATTGAAAATATTCGAAAAACAAAGTCTGTGAATTCAGACCTTGTGTATATAATAAAACAGTTATTCCACTCACTCTCGTCGAATATGAGCGATAGCCGATTCGGCGCTACGCGCCTCATCGGCTATCAGCTCATATTCCACTCGAGTTCGTAGAATAACTGTTAAATATAAATATAGATATATCGTATATGTACAGTTGTCAAAATACTACAAATTATTTACTATTAAAATTAGCAGTCATTGCTGGTATAAAACTAGTTTTAAAACGTTCCGTTCTGCATTTAGTTAATGTGAAGTTAGAATTGTTTCTTAAGTCCAGTTCATGCGATTCTTCACGGAGTGGGGGTAAGAGGTGGTTGAGGTGGGCATCGGGTTTTAAGATCTTTTTTAATGTTTTAGCACATAGCTCTTGACGTCTGTCGACAAGGCGCTTGCATTTAGCGATGTTGAGAGCATCTTCGTAATCTGTTGTCGGATAAATAATACGGAAAGCTCTTTTTTGAACTTTTTCAATTTTATCCCCCAAACACTTTGGTAACAAGGTGTGCCAGACAGGACAGGCATATTCTAAGATAGAGCGCACCATAGAAAAG